TCTCCTCTTCCTTTCTTTTTCCTTTTCTTCCCTTTTACTAACAGAATGTGCAATTGATTAATTAGCTGTATATGTTTAACCTTATGTCTGGCTAAGATTTGTTGCAGTTCTCAGTTGACCAGGCAAAAACAAAGAGACTTTTAACCCAGCCCTGAACTTACACACCTGGTCAGCAGGAATGTGGAGGCTGATTGATTAGGACTCAAAAACACCCAGATGATGCACAACCGATCATTGCTTGACCGGTTTCAGAATGCTGACCATCCTGTTCTGGAGACCAGTAATGAAGACATTCGTCAAGACCCAAGACCCCCACAGGGACTCAAATTCCAGGACTGCAAATCACCATAACCCCCTCTGTATTCCCTGCCCACATTCCCTTTCCCCGATTCCCCTATATAATAAGCTTTCTCCCAGCAAGCTTAAGAGAAGGTGAATGTTAGGGTTCTCACTCATCATCTTCCCAGATTTCCAGCATCTGATATCATTAAATGCACACTGATAATACAATCTCTGTCTCTGCTTTTTGACTGGGTAGTGACAAGCAGTATGAGCTCTGGACTCAGCTGATCTCCCGTTTCACAGCTGCTATGGAAGACAGTATGGAGATTCCTCAAAATATTTAAAATAGAATTATCAGATGATCCAGCAATCCCATTCTGGGTATATATGCAAAAGAATTAAAAGCAGAGCCCAGTGGGTGTGGCTCAGTGGACTGAGTGTCCTCCCATGAACTGAGAGTTTCTGGTTCAATTCCCAGTCAGGGCACATGCCCAAGTTGCAGGCTCGATCCCCAGAAGGGAGCATGCAGGAGGCAGCTGACTGATGTTTCTCTCTCACTTTGATGTTTCTATCTCTTTCTCTTTTCCTCTCTCTCTAAAACTCAATAAAAACATTAAACACACACACACACACACATTGAAAAAATGAATTAAAAGCAGGGGTAAGAATGGAAATATAGCCCTGGCCGATTTGGCTCAGCGGTTAGAGCATCGGCCTGCGGTCCAGAAAGACCCAGGTTCAGTTCCTGCTAGGGGCATGTACCTCGGTTGCAGTTTGTCCCTGGCCCCAGTTGGGTCGTGTGGGAGGCAGCTACTCGAAGTGTCCCTTTCACATCGATGTTTCTCTTTCCCTCTCTTCCTCTCTCTTCCTCCCACTCTATCTGAACAAAATATGGAAAAATGTCCTCAGTTGAGGATAAAAAAAAAAAGGAAATATATTTTTGCACAACCATTTTCATAGCAGTACTATTCACAGTGGCCAAAAATGTGGAAGAACCCACTTGTCCATCAATGAGTGAATGGAAATGAAAAATATAGTAAATACATACAATGGAATGTTATTTAGCCTTGAAAGGGAAGGAATTCCTGTCACATGCTACAACTTGGATGAATCTTGAGGATAGGATACTAAGTGAAGTAAGTCAGTCACAAAAGACATATGGTATTATTCCACTTAATATGAAGTATCTAAAGTAGTCAAATTCATAGAAACAAAAAGTAGAATAATAGTTGCAAGGAGCTGAGGTAGGAGAAAATGAGGAGTTGTTTTGGGGTATAGAGTTTTAGTTCTGCAAGATAAAAATGTTCTGTGGATCTATTATACAAAAATGTGGTATAGTCAATACTACTGAACTATATGTTTAAATATGGTTATTATATAACCCATTTTAAAATTTCTTTACCTTCAGCTACTATTCCTCCTATTTAATTTTATGTTTTTCACCCCAATTAAAATTTTAAATAAAGTAAAATCAATTGACTATAGAAAAATTTTATGTTCTCTCCCTCTCTCCCTTCCACTTTATCTAAAAATCAATGGAAAAATATCCTTGGGTGAGGATTACCAGAAATAAATAAATAAAAACAGAAAAAATTATATAAAAAAGAAAAGAAAATTAAAACACCAATGATACTTACGATCAAATGTCCTTTGAGTAAGTAAAGTTTTTGTAGACAAAATCCAAAAGTCATTAACCACAAAGGCAAATTGATAAATTAAACTTCATTAAAATTGAGAACTTCTGTTCTTCAAAAGACACAATTAAGGAAAAGAAATGGCAAGCCAGAGATTGAGAAAAATATATATACAGATATTACAAAGGAATTGTATTCATAATATATAAATAACTCTTACAACTTAGTAAGGAGACAAACAACCTAATGAAAACTGGACAAAATACTCAGACTTTAGAAAAGAAAATATATAAATAACCAGTAAGCTGTTCAACATCATTAATCATCAGGAATGTGCAAATTAAAATCACAGTTAGATACTACCATGCATCCACAAAAATAACCGCAATTAAAAAGGTTGACATTACTGCCCAGCAAGTATGGCTCAGTGGATTGAGCATGGTCCCATGGACTGAGAGGTCCCGTTTAATTCCCGGTCAGGGCACATGCCCAGGTTGTGGGGGGCATGCAGGAGGCAGCCAATCGATGTTTCTGTCTTATATAGATGTTTTTATTTCTCTCTCCCTTCCTTTCTCTCTAAAAAATTTATAAAAATATATTTAAAAAATCAAACACTTTAAAAATAAATAAATAATAAATAAAAAGATTGACATTTCCAAGTGTTGGTGAGGATGTTGTGCAGCTGGAACTTATACTCTTGGTGAGACCATAAACTGGTATAACAACTGGGTATTTTTTTTATCCTCACCCGAGGACATTTTTTGATATTTTGTTCAGATAGAGTGGGAGGGAGAGAGAGAGAGAAAGAGCGAAACATCAACATGAAAGGGACACATCAAGTGGCTGCAACCCACATGACCCAACCAGGGCCAGGGACAAACTGCAACTGAGGTACACGCCCCTAGTAGGAACCGAACCTGGGTGTCTCTGGACCACAGGCCCACGCTCTAACCGCTGAGCCAAACCTGCCAGGGCTGGGCATTTTCTTAAAAGTTAAACATACATTTAGCAGTTTGATCCAGCAATTCCACTCCCAGGTTTTTACCCAAGAAACAAAAAAAGAAATATGTTTATGTAAAGAAATGTACACAATATCCATATCATTCTTATGCATAATAACCTAAAATTGGAAATAATCCAAAGTCCATCATTGGGTGAATGAATAAACAAATTATTATACTCATAAAATAAAAGTTACCTCTGATACACCTACTCACATATATCAGTTTTACAGAGAAACTGAGCAAAAACATTCTGTGATTCCAGTTGTAAGAAATTATAGAACAGTCCAAACTAATCTATGGTGACAGAAATATCAGTGGTTGGCTGGGATTGAAAGTAGCAGGATTGACAGATAACTTTTTTGGGTGACAAGAATCTTAAATATCTTGATTGTGGAATGGTTATATAAATATATGTGTACATATTAAAAAATGCATGAATTTCCAGGAACAGAACATTGATCTATCTTCAATCTCTTTTACAAAGAATGAATGCCATGGCAGTCTATCATATCTGATAGTTCTGAGTTTTCTAAAACAAAACAGAAGATGGATTAAACATTCAACAAGAATTCTAGTAGACACACATTTAAATTATATTCCACCTTAACTATTGCATATGTGCCACCTATGAGTGTGTCTGACTGTATTAGTTTCCTCTAGCTGCTGTAACAAATTTCCATGAACTTAGTGGTATAAAACAACAAAAATTGTCTTACAAATCTGGCGGACAGAAGTACAAAACAGGATCTCACTGGGCTAAAATCAAGATGTCATCAGGGCAGCATTGCTTTATGAGGCTCTAGGGAAGAATCCATGTCCTTGCTTTCTCGAGATCCTAGAGGCTGTCCTCGTTCCTTGAATCATAGTCCCCTTCCAGCCAGTAATCACTTCACTCACATCTCTGCTTCCATCTTCACATTCCTTCTCTGACCGGCTCTTTGCTTCCCTCTTTTAAGAGTCTGTGTGATTGAATTGGGACGACCCAGATGATCCAGGATCTTCTCCCTACGTCAAGATCCTTACCCTAATCACCTCTTCAAAGTTACTTTTGCCTTTATAAGGTGACATACTTATAGGTTCCAGGAATCAGGAGAACATCTTGGCGGAGGCGGGGGGGGGGGGGGTGTTATTATTCTACCTACCATGAAATTCTTGGCTTTTAAAGGACCTTCGTTTAGAATGTGGCATTTCTGTTCCCCTTCAACCCTTACCTGACACTCCAAAAAACTGTTTCATTTTGTGGATGTTACAGCTTGACTTTCATAATTAGGGAGAGTTTTCTATTTAGGGCTCAGGTGTTGTGTTCATAGATTTGAGATTTAAAGTTCAGGGGCTCTAGATCTGAGACCTTAGAGGAAGCTTTAGGTCTTGAGAATGACCTCAATTCTGGGAGTGTGCGCTAAAACTCAGAAGAACTTGACCCAAGTTTGGGGCAACAGGGGACAATAGTAATAGGGAATGTATATGGTATTCTCTTTTTAGAGGAGCATAAAAAACATAAGTGGACTTGGCTTTACATTTATTTAGCCTTAGCTTCAAGAAGGAAGAGAGATCACCTAAAACTTTTCACCTAATTACCTGACTCAGAGGACAAAGTTCTCCTGATTTTTCATCTCTCAGTGCCCCTCCCCTTTCCAACAGCATTTGGAGCAAAGAGCAAAACAAGAGGAAGTTATAAATAAATTCTCTCTTCTAGTTTCTCCTTCTCTGTTCTCTCCAAGAAAGAATATGTCAGTCTTGCCTTAACCTTAATTTAAAGGAAAGGGAAAGTTTTTTAAATTCAAATATAATCAGGAAAGAATTTTGTAATTCAGATTTCTTCAGGAATTTACTTTGCTGGATTATTTATTTGTATCATCATCTTTCTTGTCAACCCATTGATGCAAACCCCACACCAATTTCTCTCTTAATCTGCTACCTATTTGTACCCAGTCAGTACCTGAGACTCAGGAATGAGTCATTCTCTGCTCAAGCAAGTGACCGTGGTCACACCTGAAGAAACAGTGTTAAGAAATATTGTTGACAGGAGCAATCAGCACAGTCTATAGCTGCAAGGAAGAAAATTCAGTGACGCGGTGCCATGGCTTCTGACAAAGGTAAAATGGATCCAGATCCCAGTAAGTTTGATATTCTTGAAAAGGTGCAGAAAATCTGTGTGTGTGTGTGTGTGTTTTGCTTGTGTCCTTGGGTATTTTCCAACTTTCCTATTTACTGCTATATTAATTATTACTATATTAATAAAAAATGTTTTTATTGATATTTTAGAGAAAGAGGAAGGGAGGGAGAGAGAGATAGAAACATCGATGAGAGACAGAAACTTCAACCAGCTGCCTCCTGCATGCCCCCCACCCACAATAGGGATCAAGCCCGAAACTGGGAATCAAACTGGGACCTCTTAGTCCATGGAATGACATTCGATCCACCGACACACTGGCCGGGCAATACTATTCTTTTTTAAATATAATTTTATTTACTTTATTTTAAAATTATCTGCCTCCCTGTAGATATTATTTTTGAAGGAGATTAATCTGCTGAAGTTTTGCCAGAATGGTGACTGGCTGCACTTGGTTAAATAAGATTTGTTATCATTATTGATCCTAACTATTTACATCTACAAATAATTTTGATCAAATGACACTAAATCAATGCTTGTTTAACCACAATAACAAAAGAAGGAAAATACACAACTATTAAATAACAATTTAAGATAACAACAGAAGTGATACCACAAAGGCATGTTAATTATTTAAGGTTTACCTAATTAAATTTAGAAAAATTCATGGGAGAGGGAGAACACTTCAGGCTGTGGAAGGAAATAATTTTCAGATGAAGTGGGATTTGAACTGGATTCTAAAAGGGTAGAATTTAAGTTGGCAAAGAGAAGACAGTTCCAGGTTGGTTAACATAAAGACTTTGAGAGAATTTACAAAGATTGTGTTTGGAATATACTGAGTACACTGGTTAGGCTAGAGAAGAGTTCATGGAAATAATCTACAGTGAAATTAGAAGGCAAATTTGAAGTGATATTATAGAGGACTTTGAATGCCAGGATAAGGAGATTAAGGTTGAAATGATTGGTAAGAGAAAATCTCTGGAGAACTTGTGAATAGCACAGAGATGACTGAAATAATGCTTTAGACTTATTTACCTGGCATTTGATGCCTTTTGGGCTGGAAGCAGAAAAGACTGGAAGCAAGTAGACCAGTTAGAAGACTATTGCAAGAGTGTGGGCATGATGTGATTGGTGGAAATACAGATATCAGTCTTGGGTTTTAAGAAACAATTTTTTTCCTCCATTATATTTTTCTTTATTAAAATCTCTTGTTAGTGTCACGTTGGGGGAAAGACTAACAACTTTATTTAGTTGAAGTACATGGTTAATTTCCCTGGATTTTCCTAAAAACATGGTGTGTTTTATCCCTCAAACCATATCTTTGCCTTGCATCCCAGGGGTAGATACTGAGAATATATCTCACCCTCTCTTTCTGAAGTTCTCACTGCTGCTTCACCTCCTTCAAAGGAAGTGTCCTCCCACCATCAATAGGACCTTCTTCTGCAGGTATGACTGTTTCTGTAAGGCCACCCTCATTCAGATTAAGGTCTGATCAGTGCCCATTCCAAGGTGCCCTTTCCTCCTCTCTCTGAGCTCAAAAATTCCCTTTCCTCCTTTTAAGGGTGAGGTTTATTCTTCAGGTCACACGTAGAATAATAGTGTTTCTTATTCGATCTTAATTCCTAGATGCCTGGGGGCTTGTATACCATCTTAAGAGCAGAAGCAGAGAGGAAAAAGAGCATTTATGGAAAAATAAAGGTATTTTAGGCAACACAGGAGAATAGATGGTTTCAGGCATATACTGTGGAGGGTCTTGGAACATGTTCCCTGTGGATAAAGGGGGACTACTGCATTCCTTTCTCCGAAGCCGTGTGCATTGGACACTCGTGACATACCACATCAACTCTTACTTCCCAGCTCCCAGTTCTGCTGTTGACCCTACTGTTCTGTTCTTTTCCTAAGAGCAATAATTATTTCTTATTTCTCTTCATCCTTCCAGGTTAACATGATTGCTAGGGAGAATTTTGATGCCCTTGAGATCTTCTACACAGCAGGATTTTGCTTGTCAAATGTCTTTAGTAACCACTGGGCTCCAGTTGAAGTCTGCTTCTCTTTCATTGGCTCGATAATATCCTTCTGGATGCTCTTTGCAAATGCTTTTTTTTTTTTTTAATCAGAAAGGGTTTAAAAATTTTTTTAATTAATTTTTTTATTTTTTTAATAGGCTTTATTTTTAAAAGAAATTTTACATTTACAGAAAAATAGATAGTACATAATTGCCATGAACCTGGCATCAGTTTCACCAACTACTAATATCTTATATTGGTACGGTGTACTTGTTACATTTTTTTTTTTATCCTCACTCGAGGACATTTTTCCATTTTTTGTTCAGATAGAGTGGGAGGGAAAGAGAGGAAGAGAGAGAGAAACATCGATGTGAAAGGGACACATCGAGTGGCTGCCACCCACACTACCCAACCAGGGCCGGGGACAAACTGCAACTGAGGTACATGCCCTTAGCGGGAACCAAACCAGGGTTTCTCTGGACCACAGGCTGACGCTCTAACCGCTGAGCCAAACCGGCCAGGGCTACTTGTTACATTTAATAAACCAGTTTTAATAAATTATCATGAATTAAAATCTATACCTGCATTTCAATTACAGTTATATAAACAATCAAAACAAAACAACTTATCTTGCTAGAAACTTACAAACTCAAATATATGTAGAAAGCACGAGAGTTAACTGCCAATGCAGCCGTGAGACAGGAAGTAAGAAATATGACTGCCCTGGCCGGTTTGGCTCAGCAGTTAGAGTGTCGGCCTGCGATCCAGAGAGACCTGGGTTTGGTTCCCACTAAGGGCATGTACTTTGGTTGCAGTTTGTCCCCGGCCCTGGTTGGGTCATGTGGGTGGCAGCCACTTGATGTGTCCCTTTCAAGTCGATGTTTCTCTCTCTCTCTTCCTCTCTCTCTCTCCCACTCTATCTGAACAAAAATGAAAAAATGTCCTCAGGTGAGGATAAACAAAAAAAAAGAAATACAAGTAAAAGGGAATCAACGAATAAATGGAACAAGAGCTCTCAGGAGCTGATGGCCGTCACAAATTGAAAAGTACAATGAACTAACCCAGAGGTGTATAAAAAGGAAGTGAGACTGACTCAAGGGTAAGGGACTGTCATACTCATTTAGCTGTTAAACCCCAGAGGAATAGGGAACAAAATTTAGGTTATGAATTACTAGCCCCTTAGTGGGCATGCCAATTCCCCCAGTTTTCTTCCCCTCACCCCATGCTGTGTTAACTTTAATGAAGTATAAAGATTCTTCTAATCATGTCACATCGGCTCATTTCACCAGCTGTTTGGCTGCCAGTCTCTTTTCTCTCTCTTCAGCAATGGTGAGGCAGATACCCTTGCCATGGGGTTTGTTGCCTTTGCCGATAACAAAAATGTTGGAGAGCCGGGTGGCAAAGCTGTTGCCATTACCATCTTTCAATGAATCACATCAAAAGAACCAGGGTGTTTCTCTCTATTGGTGATCACGCCAATTCTTCCCAGGTTAGCACCTCCGGTCACCATGCACAGATTACCGGTGTCAAACCTGATGAAATCGGCGATTTTGCCAGAATCCAGATCAATCTGAATGGTGTCGTTCACCTTGATGAGGGGATCGAGGTAGAGGATGGTGCACGCATCGTGGGTCACCAGATGAGGGATTCCCTTTGTGCCCACAAAGATTGTCCTCACTTTGCACAGCTTGTACTTGGCCTCCTTGGGTGTAATACAATGAAGAGCAAAGTGACCCTTGGTGTCATAGATCAGATGGAAATTCTCTTCGGTCTTGTCAGTGCTGATGACATCCATAAACCCAGCAGAGTAGGTGACATCGGTTCCGACCTTGCTATCGATCTTAATGAAGCGTTGCATGCAGATCTTCTTGACTTCATCTCCTGTGAGGGCATACTTCAGTCTGTTCCTTAGGAAATTGATGGGAGGGAGACATTCTGTCAGCTTGTGGGGACCGGTGGATGGCCGAGGAGCTAACACACCAGTCAGTTTATCCAGCATCCAATACTTTGGAGCTGCTACACGCTTCAGATGCTTCTTGGGACCATGAGCCGTGGCTTAGGTGGGCATGGAAAGAGGACTGTCTTCTTGCTAATTAAAACGAAATGAAGTTGATAAGGATAAAGTAGTCACCTGCCACGTTCGTGTCTCTGCCTTCGACGCAATGGTGTCTGACCAAATTTTATTAATTTTTTTAGAGAGGAAGGGAGAGAGAGAGAAACATCAATCGGCTGCCTCCTGTACACTCCCTACTGGGAATCGAGCCTGCCACCCAGGCATATGCCCTGACAGGGAATTGAACCAGGACCTCTCAGTCCATGGGACAAAGTTCAATCCACTGAGCCACACTGGTTAGGCATAAATGCTTTTTTTAAAAAAACTCATCCCTTATACAGTTATCTTTTCTCCTTTCTCTTAAGTTGTGGTTTAAAAAATATATGTATATTAAGCCAATGTTGTTCCAGCCTCTCTCCATACTACCAATTACTCTTTCTGTACATTGTAATTTTAATTGAGATAACCGTAACTTAAAACATGTAGCTTTAAGAAATAATACAGCCCAGCTGGTGTGGCTTAGTGCATTGAACATCGTCCCATGAACTGAGAGGTCCCAGTTCAGTTCCCTGTCAGGGCACACGTCTGGGTTGCCAGCTCAATCCCCAGTAGGGAGCATGCAGGAGGCAGCCAATCCATGTTTCTCTCTCACATCAATGTTTCTATCTCTCTGTCCCTTCCTCTATCTCTAAAAAATCAATAAAAACATATTTTAAAAAAAGAAATAATATAGACAGACTCCTATTACATTTTGCTCACTTTCACCCAATAGTTACATTTTGAATAATGTCACAACCAGGATATTAACATTGGCACAATCTGCCAATTTTCCCCATTTTAACTTGTACTCATTTGTGTGTGTGTGTGTGTGTGTGTTTAGCTTTATGCAATTTTGTCACCTGTATAGATTTGTGTATCTATCAGCACAGTCAGATCTAAACAGTTCCAATAGTACAGATCTGTTTTATGGCCCTTTTATAACCACCTCCTCCCTCTTGCATTACCACGTTCCTAACCATTGATAACTATTGATCTGTCCTTACTTCTAAAATTTTGTCATTTTAAAATGCAACTCAACTTGTATATGGGTGTTATTTGACATACTCATCTCTTGGTCAACAGGTCCTTCAGCTGGTGATCCCACCTTGAGGTAAGAATAATACTGTTAGCCTTGACCTAGTAGCTCAATTGATTAGAGCTTCATCCCAATAACCTAAGGTTGTGAGTTTCCTCTCCAGTCAGGACACATATAAGAATGAACCAGCCGCCCTGGCCGGTTTGGCTCAGCGGTTGGAGCGTCGGCCTGCAGTACAGAGAGACCCGGGTTCGGTTCCCGCTAAGGGCATGTACCTCGGTTGCAGTTTGTCCCCGGCCCTGGTTGGTCGTGTGGGTGGCAGCCACTCGATGTGTCCCTTCACATCGATGTTTCTCTCTCTCTCTCTTCCTCTCTCTCCCTCCCGCTCTATCTAAACAAAAAATGGAAAAATGTCCTCGGGTGAGGATAAAAAAAAAAAGAATGAACCAGTTAATGCATAAATAAGTGGAACAACAAATTGATGTTTCCCTCTCTCTCTGTGTCTCCCTTCCTCTAAAAATCAATTTTTTTTAAATGTAAAGAATAATACTGTCATATTGTGCATTTAATAAGTGGGTATTTAAGAGTTGGGGGACTATAGCTATCCTTATTGTTTCTTTCCTCTTTTACCATGTTTCCATTCCCCCCCCCTTTCCAACTTCATTCTCTAGGATATTGCTTTATATGTCTTAGTTCTTATGTCTTTTGGTTTCTGTTCAAATAAATTATCTTCTAGCTTTGTTCTGTTATTGTCTTAGTAATGTTCTTTTCTCTCTCTCTCTCTCTCTCTCTCTCTCTTTCTTTCTTTCTTTTTTCTTGTTAATCCTCACTCGAGGATATTTTTCCATTGATTTTTAGGTAGTGTAGAAAGGAAGCATGAGGAGAGAGAGACAGAGGAAAACATCGATGTGAGAGAGACACATCAATTGGTTGCCTCCCTCACAATCCCAACTGGAGCCAGGGATCAAATCTGCAACCCAGGTACGTGGCCTTGACCAGGAATCGAACCTGAGATCCTTTGGTCCGTGGGTCAACACTAACTGCTGAGCCAAATTGGCCAGGGCAATGCTCTTCTTTCTTTAGATCACATGTTTTTATAGCTATTAGTGAAAGGTCCAAGGAACTGATTTGTCACTTTGATTTCATCTTCCTATTTCTATTATATGCCCATTTTACAGACATTATAACGGGGGGGGTGTCTTTTGTCAAGGAATATATTATCTCATGATGGATGGACTTATTGATATAATAAATGAATGTGATACTTTAGGGGTGAGTGAGAAATATTAGAATGTAAAAAGCTTATGAGTCAACCACATTGAAAAGGAGAGTCCTCAGCACAATCCTGAGTTTTCTGCATCACAGCTTGGACACACGGAGAGTGTTCAATTGAAAGATGCCATTGAAAGCAAGTTGACTCTCTTATGAGGTATTAGTACACAGAATTTAAAGTGGAGAATCCTGAGGCTAAATTGCTCTCTTCTTAGTCTTGGCAATAGAATTTTGTTGGTAATTTGAGGTTTCTACACCTGAGAAAATCAAGTTAGGGCTCACTGAGGAATAGTCAATATTAGCAATTGGGACATGGCACCTCTAAGAATGAGACAGAAATATTAGAATATAATGAGAAAAATGACACTTTTATATCTGAATTTAAGACTAACAAGCAATGGTACAGAGAGAATGGTAACCGGATAACATGATTTGGGATAAATCTCTTCACTGTGTTTGTGATAGAAACTCTCATAATTCAAATGGACCTCTCTATATGAGAAAGTTTCCCGAGATTCATGTTTTAGGTCTGCCTTTTAGAAGAGGGGAGCATTAAACGCTTTTTAAAGTTCCTCTAAAAATTGCATGACAATGTGGGAGTGCTTTTTATGTTTTAGGAGGAGAATTGAACCCTGGGAATTTGAAGCATCCTTTGACCCCAGAGAACTCTGTAAAGAGGCCTGTCTGCTCTATGAAGTCCAGTGGGGCACGAGTCACAAGGTCTGGCGAAACTCAAGCAAAAACACCACCATGCACGTTGAAGTCAATTTTATAGAAAAATTCACTTCAGAAAGACGATTTTGCTCACCCGTCAGCTGCTCCATCATCTGGTTCTTGTCCTGGAGTCCCTGTTGGGAATGCTCCAAAGTTATTAGAGAATTTTTGCATCAACGACCTAGTGTGACTTTAGTTATTTATGTAGCACGGCTTTATTACCACATGGATCAACAAAACCGACAAGGACTCAGGGACCTCATTAATAGTGGTGTGACTATCAGGATTATGAGAGCCCCAGGTAAAAAAACAAAAAAAAAAACAAAAAACAAAGATCTTAAGTGTTTATGGGAGACTGTGGTGGCAGTATGTCTTTAGGTCAGGAAATTGATTATTCTAGAGTGGAAGTCTCAGGAGTAAAAGTTCAAAATAATATGAGAAGAGGCCAGGTTTGAAATTCATAGCAGGGTAAGTCATAAAAAATATGACTCCTGCCCAGCTGGAATGGCTCATTGGTTGAGTGTCGACCCATGCACTAAGAGGTCACTGGTTCCATTCCCAGTCAGGGCACATGTCAAGGTTGTGGGCTCAATTCCCAGTAGAGATCATGAAGGAGGCAGCCGATTGATGTTGATGCTTCTCTCTCATTAATGTTTCTATCTCTCTCTCCCTCTCCCTTTCTCTCTCTCAAAAATCAATAAAAATATATTAAAAAAATATATGACTCCTTTCTCCACTTTGCCACTATGGGCCTCTCAGCCATTTTCAAATGAACTGCTTTGTTCTTTTTAGGAATTCTGGGGGAGTCTAGCCCATCTGCAGTAGCAAATAGGTCAGTGGGCTTTATATATGTTATATATTTAAGTTTAGTTCTCTTGAAGTAACTTTCTGTTGTATTTGTTGAGTGAACCAAGATTTGTGTTTCCTTAGAGCATGATTACTGCTGGAGGAATTTTGTCAACTACCCACCTGGGAAAGACGCTCACTGGCCAAGATACCCCCCTCTGTGGATGGAACTTTATGGACTGGAACTTTACTGCATAATTTTAGTAAGTTATTATTTTTTTAAAAATATAGACTGATTTTAGAGAGGGAGGAAGGGAGAGGGAGAGAGAAATAGAAATATCTATGAGAGAGATCATCAATTGGCTGCCTCCTGCATACCCCCTACTGGGGATTGGGCCCGCCACCTGGGCATGTGCCCTGACGGGGAATCAAACCAGTGATCTCTTGGTGCATGGGTCAAAACTCAACCACTGAGCCACACTGGTCGGGCTGGACTCCCTATTAATTAGATATTATTATTATTATTACAACACATACTAGCTCTACAGAATTGCAGACATTCTCCTTTTCCGTATTGGTGGGTATCATTCTATTGAAGAAATGGAGGTGTCTCATTTGTATTCTCTTGAGAATAGTTCAGTGGTCTTCCAACCTATGTTATAAAATGCTTGTGATAATAATAGGATTAAGAAAAATATCCTAACTTCTTTTTTATTTCAGAATCTCCCTCCCTGTTTAATGATTTCAAGAAGATGTCAAAAACAGCTTACATTGTTCAGACTGAGTCTTCAAAATTGCCATTACCAAATGATTCCACCCCCTATCCTTTTAGCTGCAGGGGTGATACAACTTCCTGTGATTTGGAGATGAACAGAATGATTCTTTGCAGGCAATGATGATTCACTAAAGATTGAGTGCCATTAGAATCTAGAAATTTTCTGTTTCTATAACTATAAATTCACAAACTATAAATTATATAAAAAAGTAAAGAAGACTATCCCCTTTACAATAGTATCAAAACAAAACAAAAAATACATAGGGATAAATTTAACTAAGGAGGTGAAAGACTGAAAACTATAAGATATTGATGAAAGAAATTAAAGAAGACACAAATAAATGAAAGGGTATCTATGTTCATGGATTAGAAGAATATTATTAAGATGTTTATACTACCTAAAGCCATCTATAGATTCAATGCAACACTATCAAGCTTCCAATAGAATTTTTCACAGAAAAAATACAATTCTAAAATTCATATGAAACCACAAAAGATCTGAATAGCTAAAGCAATCCTGAAAAAGATCAAAGCTGGAGGCATTACAATTCCTGATTTCAAACTATAGTACTAAGCTATAGTAATCAAAAGAGCATGGTACTGGCATAAAAACGTAGAACAGTGAAACAGAATAGACAGCCCTCAAAATAAATCTATACATATGTGGTCAGTTAATATTTGGTAAGGAAACCAGGAACATTCAACAGGGAAAAGATATTCCCTTCAATAAATGATATTCACATGCAAAAGAATGAAATGGAACCCCTATATTACACCACTCACAGAAATTATTTTAAAATGCTTTAAAGACTTAAATGTAAGACTTGAAACCATAAAACTCTTAAATTAAAACATGGAGGAAAGCTCCTTGACCTTAGTCTTGGCAATAATTTTATGGATATTACACCAAAAGTACAAGCAACAAAAGCAATAATAAACAAGTAGGACTACAGCAAATTAAAAAGCTTCTGCATAGCAAAAAAAAAACAATCAACAAAATGAAAAGGCAGCCCTGGCCAGTTTGGCTCAGCTGTTAGAACTTCGGCCTGTGGACCAAAGAGTCCCAGGTTCAATTCTGGCCAAGGGCATGTAACTTGGTTGTGGTTCATCCTGGCCCCGGTTGGGGTTGTGTGGGTGGCAACCAATTGATGTGTCTCTCACATTGATGTTTTTCTCTCTCTCTCTCTCCCTCCCACTCTGTCTGAAGATAAAATATAAAAGTATCTTTGGGTGAGGATTAAAAATAAAATGAAAAGGCAACCTACAAAATGGGAGAAAGTATTTGTAAACTACATATTTGATACGGGGTAAATATCCAAAATATCATACAACTCAATAGCAAAATAAACAAAAACAAAAATTTAAAAAAAACCCTCAAATAATTTGATTTAAAATGGGCAAAGGACCTGCATAGACATTTTCCCAAAGAAAATATTTAAATGGCTAACAGCAACTAATGAAAGTTGGTCAACATCACTAATTATAAAATAAAATGCAGATCAAAACTATAATGAGATAGTACCTCATACCTGCTAGAATTTCTACATTCAGAAAGACAAGAGGTAAGTGTTGGTGAAGCTTTGGAGAAAAAAGAACCCTTATACATGGTTAGTGGAAATGTAAATTGGTATAGTCAATAGGGAATACAGTATGGAGGTTCCTCAAAAAATTAAAAATAGAGCTACCATATGATTCAGCAATTATATTCCTGGGTATTTATCTAGAGAAAAAAAAATCACTATCTTAAAGAGATAGTTCACTCTCATGTTCATTGCATTATTTACAATAGCTAAGACATGAAAATAACCTAACTTTCTATCAATGGATGAGTGAGTAAAAATATTATACATATAATGGAATATTATATAGCCACAAAAAGGATGACATTCTACCATTTGCAAAAACATGGATGAAACTTGAGGGCATTATGTTATTTTTAATAAGTCGGACAGAGAGAGATAAATACTATATGATCTCACTTTTATGTGGAAAAATCCCAACTCATAGGATCAATGAGCAGATTAGTGGTTGCCAGGGCAGGGTGAATGTGGTCAAAGGGTGCAAACTTCCAGTTTTACAATGAATAAGTTCTGGGGATGTCATGTACAGCATGGTGATTATAGTTAACAATACTGTATTGTATACTTGAAATTTGCTAAGAGAATAGATCTTAAATATTCTTACCTCCCCCCAAAAATTGTAACTATGAAGTAATCAATATGTTAACTCACCTTATCATTTTGCAATATATACAAATATCAAATCATTATCTTGTACATCATAAACTTACATAATATTATGTCAATTGTGTCTCAATAAAGCTGGGGAGGGGGAATGAAAACAAATAAATCTAAACAAAATAGACCCAGAAACATAGAAGTAGGGTACAGATTGACAAACTTCAGAAGAGGGGGTTGGTAGGGGAGGGGAAAGGAAGAGATAAATCGCAGAACTTATATGCATGTATGCTTAACCATGGACATAGACAACGATGCTGGGGATGGGGGGGGGGTCAGGGGAGGGTGTCAGTGGGGGAAAAAGGAGAAACATCTGTAACAAAAATAAATTATTAAAAAAATAAAACGAATCTAGAAATTTTCACAAACATCAGTATCGTGGATTATGTTATCTGCTACTATTTCACAAATTACCCCATACTTTGTGGATTAAAACAACAATAAATATTTATTATATCACAGTTTCTCTGGTCAGGAATTCAGGAGTAACTTAGTATGCAGTCATATTGTCAGTGAGGGCTGTAGTCTTCTCAAGGCTTGACTGAGGCTCGAGAATGTGCTTCCCAGATGTCACACTCACATGGCTGGCAAGTGAAGGGAGGTCTCAGTGTCTTGCCATGCAGACTCTCCACAGAACTGCTGAAATATTTCCATGACAGCCCTGGCCGGTTTGGCTCAGCAGTTAGAGCATTGGCCTGTAGTCCAGAGAGACCCGGGTTCGGTTCCCGCTAAGAGCACGTGCCTCGGTTGTGGTTTGTCCCCGGCCCTGGTTGTGTCGTGCGGGTGGCAACCACTTGATGTGTCCCTTTCACGTCGATGTTTCTCTCTCCCTCTCCCTCCCACTCTATCTGAACAAAATATCAAAAAATGTCCTCGGGTGAGGATAAAAAAAATATATATTTCCATGACATTGCAACTAGTTTTCTATGGAGAAAATGATCTGAGAGAGACCAATGTGGAGCTTACCATGTCTTTAATGATCTGGTCTTGGAATCATACATTATTTATTCTGCAGTGTTCTACTGGTCACACCAGCCAGTCATAATTCAGTGTGGGAGGGGACTACACAAGGAATTGGGTCTCAGAAGATGACAATCATTGGCGGTCATCTTGGATTTTATATGTAAGAACTTCCACTGTGTTTTCAGGACAAATAATTATTTGAAGCCAATTTCTAAGAAGAAGCTAAAGGGAAACAAAAGACAAAGTAGCATTTATCTTTATTTTTCTTTATTGATTTTAGAGAGAGAGGAACATTGATGAGAGAGAACATCAATTAGCGGCCTCCTGCATGCCCCCTCCCCCGAAAATTGGGCCCACAATCTGGGCATGTGCCTTGACCAGGAATCAAAGTGGCGACCTCTCGGTGCATGGGTCGACGCTCAACCACTGAGCCACACTGGCCAGGCAGATCATCATAAGATTTAATAGATGATTTATTATTCAGAATTTGCAGGATGATTTATTGTTGCACTTAATAACATCCTGAACTTGAGTAGCTAAACATTTAAAAAAGGGTTATATTTTAGCTCACACTGCAATCTAATGCAAGTTGGGTGGGAATGTCATTGCTCTGTGCAGCTATTCAGGAAGCCACATTCCTTTCATCTGATGACTCCACCTTTCCTATATCCTTGGAGTCCTCTAGTGAATTCTCTTCGTTTTATTTATCCAGCACACAGATGGGGGTGGAGGAAGAAAGAGAGAGCTAGAGTAAGAAGGAGGAGGAGGAAGGGAGGAAGAGAGAGAAGGCATTACGTTGTATGAAAGAATGCTTTTTAGAATGAAGGACTGGATGACTATGGCAAACATTACCGCTGCACCTGTTCCACAAACCAAAAATCAGTCATGTAGCCCCACCTAACTGTAAGAGAGGCTCAGCCTCTATGCCCAAGAAGAAATGAAAATGGGATTTGATGAACACATAACGTGCCTGTCACAATGAGGAAACTAGGACACTGAGACACACCAGGGTCAGATATGAAATGTCATGGCAAGAACGGAACTAAAAATCAGTGTCTTTTTTTTCTGAGGCATTCAGGATATGTCAGTAATCAACTATTACTGATTTTCATGCAGTCAGACTGGCTCAATTGTTTGTCTGGCTTTCTTTCCTGGGTTGGCATGGGTATAAGGCAGTCTCGTTCTGGGGCATAAATACAGGCGGGGAATTTATTAGATGTCTCTATGAATAGTATCTGTCTATGCCTTTTTTAAACTGTTGTGAAAGATGCCATTTATTAATTGTTCTTACAAAAATATTTATATTAGGAAAGAACTCTTTAAAATTTTTTTAATTTAAAAAAAAAATGTTTTTATTTATTTTTTTTAGAGAGAGAGGAGGGGAGAGAAACATCGATGTGAGAAACATGGATCGGCTGCCTCCTGTATGCCCTCTGCTGATGATTGAGCCCGAAACCCAGGCATGTGCCTTGACCAGGAATTAAGCTGGGACCTCTCAGTCCATAGGAAAATGCCCAATCCACTGAGCCGCACTGTCCTGGCTAGAAAAAAACTCTTAAAGACAGGAGACAGTTTCTGCCATGGCCAGGTGGCTGTTGGTTGGAGTGTTGTTTCGTACACCAAAAGGCTCCAGGTTCGATTCCTGGTCAGGGCACATACCCAGGTTGTGGGTTCAATTCCCAGTCAGGGCATGTGTGGGAAACAACCAATCCATGTTGCTCTCTCACATCTATGTTTTTTTCTCTCTCTCTCTCCCTCTCTCTCTCTCACTCTCCTCAATGGAAACATATCCTTGGGTGAAGATAGGAGACATGAACAGATAATATGTGCTTCCTTTTATTATACAAGAATAGTGGCAATCACTGATTTTTTAAAGTCTCATTTGTTTCAGTTTT